GAGCAGGGAGCCCGATGCGGGACTCGATCCAGGGACTCCAGGATCATGACCTGAGCCGAAGGCAGTCGCTTAACCAACTGAGCCACCCAGGCGCCCCTTGATTGGCATTCTTGAAAGAACAAGATATAAACCTGCTTATGATTCTCTTTCTTCTCCATGGGAAGAGTACTCTTGAAGGAAGACGAAACAGAAAATGGAGGAAGAAAGATTCCTGATGAGACCACTTGAATTCTTGAATCTAATCATACCCGAAGTCTTACCCATCAAATAGGCAAGGAAATCAATTTCAATTTTTTGCTTAAGTCCGTTTCTGTTGGGTTTCTGCCACTTGCCTCCAAAAGAGTCCTAAACACTTGTGTTTTATAACTTTCAGTAAAATCTCGTGTGTATGAGAGCATGTCCAACACCGGCATTACTGATGTGTATAATAATATATCCGCTCTCTTTTCTCTCGTGTTCTCAGTGGTCACCATTGTACAACGGACTGTCTTCAGACTGGAGCACCTGCTCATCAGACGGTCTTGGCCCAGCATATCTCCTGTCTTCTCAAGAATTCTCATCGTTAGAATTACTCATGATTGGGGTGCCTGGACGGCTCAGTCGGTTAAGCATCTGCCTTCAGCTTAGGTCATGATCCCAGGGTCCTGGGATTGAGCCCTGCATTGTGCTCCCTGCTCAGTGGGGAGCCTGCTTCTCCCTCTCCCTCTGCCCCTCTACCCTGCTCATGCTCTCTCTGTCTCTCACTCACTCTCTCAAATAATAAATAAAATCTTTAAAAAAAAGAATTACTCATGGTTGTCCCATATTCATACTCTATGGATATGGGATTTACCTGTGTTATGCCCAGTCCTTCCCCTGCCCTCCCCCAATAGCTCAGTAGTTCCTTGTGAATGTAGTTGTACTCATCTGTGCCCCAGAGAGCTTGGAATGCGATTTCCAGGCAGCCAGCCACTGGTATCTTCTCCCAGCCTTGCATCTCTAAGATCTTGGGTCCATTTCTAGCTCTTCCCTTGCCTTGCTCAAATTAAGCAATGACTTGATTTATGGGAGAAGAGTTGATGTAGACAGGGGTGTGGACTAACATTTACAGTGTGCCCTCTGCCTGTCAGACACTCTGCTGGGCACATTCATGTGTGCTTGTACCATCTTGTGTTTACCATAACACGTAATGTCATTGTCTATTTAATACTTTTTATGGTCTTGACACTGTGCTAAGTGTCTCATCAAGTAATATCTAATTAAATCCTTACAGAACCAGGAGAGAGGTATTATTATCTCCAGGGTTAAGCTGAGGCTGAGAAAGGTTAAGTTATTTCCCAGTGTCATGCAATGAGGAAATGGTGGGCGCAAGATTTCCACTCAGGCCTGAATGACCCAGAGTCCAGTTTTCTTATTTCTTACACCAGCACTGACTGGCCTATGCCTCTTGCTCACCTATGAACTTGAACCTCACAGCACTCGTGTGTTATCTTTGGTCCCCAATTCTCCCTCCTTCTAGATCCTTGCATAGAGGAGTAGGTTCTCAAAAATTACATACTGGATGAAGAAATCTTTACAACAACTCTGGAGGGCGAGTGTTTTTCTTTCTGTTTTACACATGAGCAAATTTCGGCTTAGGATGGGTAAGGAACTGACCTAAGGCCAGGAACTAGCATTCATAAAATCTAATCCTATAATCTGGAAGTTTCGTGCTCTGACTGAGAATTGAGAAAGATATTATAGAAGCTAAAGAGAGGGGTCTTTGGGATGTTCATGCATTCCACCATAGATAGGTTAATGAAGCCTCTATTAGGCTGGATTACTGTGCAGAAAGCAGCGCAGACATTTTATGAAAAGAAAGCTGCATCCATGTTACTGAGTCTGTATTTGGCTCCTTATAACTTGTAAGCAGGCAGAACCCTGCTTCACGGCGCTGGACAAAACTCAAGTGAAAATGACTCCAGTGGGGAAATCTTTTTTGGAAACCGAAATGGTTGTTTTAGGAATCCGTATTGTAATTTTTCACTTCTTAATCTCTGGTCTCTTGAGTCCCAGTCTGTATCCTGGGTGCAGTGGATATGGGATTCCAGTGACTTTGCCCAGTGCAAGGATCACTGCAATGGAAGGCAAACAGGCTCAGAGTGTGGAGAGGGGAAGCACGATAGGTATTTAGCAGCAGAAGCTGGGACTCTGGTAGATGGAACCGACAGCTCTAAAGGGCACCTCAAGGAAACACATTTCTTGGGGCTTCTAAGAACACAAGAGCCCATGGTCTGATGTGGCTATCTCTGTTTGAAAGTGCTGACATTCTGTTCAGCTAATGATGAGTTTTCTTCTCTTTCTTCCCAACACCACGGCGAGGCAAAAATGCAAGGGAAGAAAGAACAAGAAGCAATTTCCAAAGTCTTCAGGGTCCCTAGGATGGCTTTTGAACTAAGTCATTCTGTCATCCTCAGGCTGCTTGTGCTTTTGGAGTAGTCATTGGCAGATTAATGAGTTTCATGAAAGTTAAGAGAAAATAGCAGCTTAAAATAGCAGTGAAATTTTCAAGGGTATTTTTGGGGAGAGGGTGAAATACTGTAGTCACCCTGATGTACTCATGGAAGCATCTAGGGTATGTCGTTAGTTAAAAATCACAGCCACAGAGCCAAGAATGCATATAATTTACCTACTCACTTACCCGCCTCCCATCCTTCCACCCATCTATCCATCCATCTATCCACTCACTCATCCATCCATCCATCCATCCATCCATTCATCCATCCATCCATCCATCTACCCACTCATCCATCCATCCATCTATCCACCTATCCATCCCTCTACCCACTCATCCATCCATCCATCCATCCATCCATCCATCCATCCATCCATCCACCTATCCATCCATCTATCCACTCATCCATCCACCCATCCATCCATCCATCCACTCATCCATCCATCCATCCATCCATCCACCCATCCATCCATCCATCCTCCACCCAACATCATCCATCTATCCACTCGTCCATCCATCCGTCTATCCATCCATCCACCAACATCCATCCATCTATCCACTCGTCCATCCATCCGTCTATCCATCCATCTGTCTTCCACCCACCTAGCCATCCATTTTATCCATTCACTTAACATTTAACAAGCACAGACAACATTCCAGGCATTACCTAAGGCTACCAATACTTGGTTCTCAGGAAGTCCCAAGACTGCGTTTTTTGCTATAATATAATTTCAGAAAGCAAATTTGCTGTTGGGAGTTTCCGCTAAGGTGAAGCAAAGTGTTGTATTGAGTTTATATAGATTTGACTCTTATATAACTGTACACTTGGCACTGAAAATCTTATGCAACTTATTTGGGAAAAGATGGTCTATGGTACAAGTTGCTGCTTCATGCAGAAAGATGGGCTGCAAGGAACAGTTTTTGTTTAGGGTTTGTTTTGCATTAGAAGCCATGAAATGTGGAGCTGAAGTTGTTGTTTTGCTGGGTCAGGTGTTGCTAGTCCACTAAAAATAAGCCTGTATCAGTGGTATTCTTAGAAACGAAGAAAACTCAGATGCAAGTAAAGTAATTTAGCGGACTTGTTCTTCATTACGCTCCATCGCATTGAACTTCAGTAGAGTTCTGCTTTAAACACAGGAGGTAGAGTGTGGTGCTAAGTGTCAGGATCTGGAGGCACACAGCCTATTTCAGATCCCTGACCTACCACTTACTTACTCCATGGCCTTGGGGAAGTTGCCTACCCTCTCTGTTTTCAAAACCAAAAATAGGACAAACAATGATACTTGCCTCTTAGTGGGGTTTTTTTGTTTGTTTGTTTTTGAGGATTAAATGGGATAATGCCCCGAGAGCTGTGTCCCCACCATTTTGGTGAGCAAGTTTGGTCCTCCAGGGACACAGAGTAGATTCATTGAGATTCACTGGTCAGAGCAAGTTCTCCATGATTTTTTTCCCTCTCTTACATGATCTCCTCCATCTTTGGTTCTTCCTTTAACTCCTCCCACACCACAGGTGTTCCTCTAGTATAGGAATAGAGATTTCCCCAGTTCTCCCTTCATACGTTAATTTAGATATAACTACATAATTGATAAAATACAGAGTTGGCTCTGATTACATAAATGGTTTGGGACCCCAAACTTCACTTTTTTCCAGTCAACATTATATTTTTGATATCTCCTCATGTTGTTGCATGTAAATCCAATTCTTTACATTTTGACTGTGGCCTAGGAGACAACATATGCATAGACTACAATTCACTTATCCATTCCCCTAGTGATAAATGAACAGGGACATCAGAGTCTCTGCTGTCACAAAGAAAACTATGGTGAACAGCCTCATGCATGCGTCCTTATGGTTTTGTGGGAGAGTTTCTTTGGGGCATGTATCCAGGCGTGGAGACTGTTGGGTGGATGAGCAGTTAATTGCCCCCAGGATTGAAAAATTTCTATTTGGGATGGCTGCTTAGTTTGCACTTCTCCATAGCACTTGAAGTTCTCTGACTTTGTGATTTTTGCCAATATGATGGGTATAAAGTGTTATATCATTGTTGGTTTAATTTGCTTCTCTCTGATTACTAATGAAGTTGAGTATCTCTTCATATACTTGTTAGCCATTAGTGTTCCCTCTTCTATTAATTTTCTTTTCATAGACTTTACCCATTTTTCTACTGGGTTTCCTGATTTTTTTCTTGCTGTGTTGTAACGGTTTCTCTAGATTTCAACACGAGCCCAGTTTTAGACATTGCACACATCTTCTCATGGTCTACAAGAGTGTTCAGTGTGTAGATTATGTCCCTTCCTGCGCAGAAATCATAGTTTTAGTGCAGTCAAACACTTCATGTCTCCCCCTGATGCTGATCTTTTTAGATCTTGCTTTCAAATCTGCACAATTCTAAAGTCATGAAGATATTTCCTCCATTTTCTTTGATTACTTTTATAATTTGTCTTTTGCTTTCAGGTGTGAAGGAAGGAATCTAATTTTATTTTTCCCATGCAGGGAACCAATTTTTCCAATAAAATTTACCAAATAATTCAATCTTTCCCAATTGACATATAATGCCAAGTCTCCTATACATGTAGGAGTATTTCTGAATCCCTTTGTTCCTTCATGGATTTATTTATCTGTTCCCAAGACTACACCACACTTAAAAAAGAATTACTGTCACTTAGCAATATGTTTTAATATTCAGTAAAGTGAGTCCCTCCTCTAGTCCCATTTTTTTTCAAAATTACCTTAGGTATTCATGCCTTTTAAATTTCTGTATACATTTTAGAATCCATTTTTCAAATTTCTCAAAAATTTTGCTGGAACTTTGATTAGAACTGCATTATGTCCATGCATTAATGTTGAGGGAAAATTAATATCCTTATAATGTTAAGTTATTCTATTTGTGAACCTGGTGTTTGTCTTAATCTATTCAGGTCTTTTATAATGGCCTTTATAAGAGCTTTTCTCCATGAAGCTCTAGTGCATTCATTTTTGCAGGGAGGTGTGTTTCATTCCTACGTATGTTATGTTTTTTTGTTGCTCTAATGTTTTAAATATTCTGTACAATCCCTGGCACATAGTGAGCACTCAGTAAATGGTACTTATTATTGTTGTAGCTATTATAAAAGGAGGAAATCATGGAGGGAGAGTCTCCAA